ATGAAAAATTATACAGTCAACTTAGGCAGAGGGGGAAGCCATGAAGATGGGGAGACCGGTTAGACAGCTGTTGCAGGAACCCAGGAGAGAAATGGTGTGGCCAGGAGCACAGAGATGCATATGAGAGCAGGCTGATGGATTAGAGATGAATTTTGGAAGTTGAATCACAGGATTTGTTAGTGGACTGGATGTGGGGTAAAGGGAAGGGAAGCATCAAGGACATGCCTCAGTTTCTGGACTGAGCAACAGCGGGAATAATCAGATCATTTACTTAAATGGAGGGGCCTGAGTGTGAAGAATTCTGGTGGGGGAATGAGAGCTCACTTTGGGACACATTGAGTGTGAAATCTCTGGAAGTCACCCCAGTCAGAGATGTCTAGGGGCCAATCAGATATATAAGCATGGAGCTCAGAATTGAGGTTCTGAGGAGGAGAAATAATTTTCTGAGCCATCAACATATAGATACTATTTGCTTCCAGATAGGAGGGAGGACAACTGTGCTGAGCATGGCTCAGAGTCCTCCTGATACAGCAAGAGAAACATGTCAATTATCTTGGCACCTTGGAGGTCACTGGTGACCAGGGTTGTTTTGCTGAGCGGTGGGGACAGAGGTCAGGCTGGTGTGGATTCTAGTGTGAGTCAGAAGTGAGGAAGCAGAACATGCAGGTAGACAGACTCTCAAGTCTGACGATAAAGATGAAGAGGAAAAGGTGAAAGAGTGAAGAGTGACATGGATTGAAGGCTGGGTTTTCAATGTGGGAATTTATTAAGAAATCAGATACTGAGGGCAAGGACTCTGCGAGGCACTGTTCCCATGATGAGAACAAGCTGTGGTGTGTCTGTAACCAGTCAAGCATCTCTTGAGCACAAGGGCTCTCATGCTGGAGATCCGTGAAAGAGAGAGTCCCCACCTCTGAACCTCAGTCTTGACAGCACATCCCTGTCCTCCGCAGTCAGCCACAACACCCTGCAGTCTTGGCTGCTCACCGACTGCAGGTGTGACCTTGAGCAAAGTCCAGATCACTTACCTCTAAGCCTCATTTCTTCAACTGAGAACTGCAAAGCCTTTGTGGCAAATCAAATAAAGCATGTAGAGTTAGAACATTTGCAATGAAAGAAAATGGTGGCCTCTATAATTACTATGCCTCAGCTTCCCACAGCCCAGCAGAGTTTGAATCACCATTGGTCTGTGCTTCTGAGGAGGCTCCTCTTAAACTGTGTTGGAAGTGTGTATCTTCATAGCTAACATTCACTCTAGAAGTGAAAATAGTATTTTGTTTGATCCAAAGGTAGTGAGGATAAAGGTAAGGGAAACTCATCTGAGAATGATTTCTTAGATAAAATGAGCTGAAACTAATTAACAGCTGAATCAGGAGTTGGCTCTGGTATTGATGAGAAATAAGATGCAGTTTCCAGGACAGGTGTCATGAGACTGGGCTTCCCAAAGCAAATGTGCCTTCTTGATTTGGGAAGAGATCCCTGGGGATAATGCATGGAGTGAAGTGGGGTCAGGATGCAACTGGCTGGGCAGTGCAGAGTCGGGACCCAGCGAGGCCTGAAGCAGCAATGCAGTGACTGGGGAGGAAGAAGAGGCCGTGGGGCTGCCCAGGCTTGTGCCCGAGTCAGGCCCCGCCACTGAGGAGCCCAGCGTGATGGCCAGTGCTCTCCCAGCTCAGGCTTACTCAGGAGGAGAAACTGGGTCCTGAGAGTACCGGGGCTCAGCGGGGCCATGTGAGCACAGGGCAGGGGTCCAGGTCACCGGGGATTCCTGGGACCCTCCAGTCACAGGCTCATCCTCCACAGAGCTTTCACCTTCCGTATGGTGCCTGGTGGCCATTCTCCCCAGAGTCTGACTCAAAGACTCCAGTTCCCATCAACATGTTCAGTTCCACAAACGTTTATTGGGCAGCTCTGGGGACGTTCCAGTTCCTGGGGTGACAGAGTTCAGGTACCCTCTTTCCCTGTTTGGAGGGAAGTGATGTGTGGCTCGTAGCTTAGTCCCAAGGGAATTCTACAGTCCTGCATTCAAGGACTGTGTCCCTGACCCCACGCAGAGAGCACCGAGGACAAGCTGGGCGACTAGAACGGGGACAGAGGAGGTGGCAGGACACAACTGCAGGGAGGGAGAAGGCCTGGACTGAGAAGGGCCTGGAGACGGCCCTGGGGGAACCAGAGGGGCCTGGAGAGGGAGCGGGTCTGATTAGGGGAAGGCTGGACAGGGGGTCTGTCCTGAATGATGCTGATTGTGTCCCGGAAACAAGCACACAGGCACAGGCTCAGCTTCACGTGGCTGTCCTGCCATCAGTCCTGGAACCAACAGGCTGTCCTCATACCAAGAATGACACGCAGTCTCAGTATTCCATCTCTTAAGCATTTATTAGATCCGCTGCCTTCTGTGGACAGAGAACGCTCTAGCTCAGTGTCCCTGCCCTTGGGGACTCACAGCCCCGTCTCCTGAGCAGAGAGAGAGGCAGCTCAGTACTTGTCAGGCAGGCCAGGAGGTCTGAAGTGGTTGGGGTCTTTGCCGCTCCGGCCCCACTCGTTGGCAAACTGGTCGGCCTTCGTGTCCTCCCGTAGCTCCTCCCTGGTCATGCCCTTAAGCAGAGGGTCTGTGATTCCCTGAAGAGTCTCTCTGGCATCACTAGAAAGGAAGAGGGCAGGGAGGGGATTAATCCAGGACTATGAGCCCCAGCCCCACCCTCCCCCTCTCTCCTCTTTCTAAGGGATCAATGACTCTGAGAGGAGCCAAGGAAAGAGGGGCTACAGCCCCGAGGCTCCCTGGGCTCAGCCCAACTCAGACCTGCACGTCCCCTGTATGCTGGGGAAACAGTACCCATAGCGGAAGGGTTGAGAATCGCATGTCCCACCAGCCTTGCTCTGCTCTTCACCCACTCAGACCTCACACTGGGCGCAGTGCAGGAGGGCGTTTAATAGTAGGAGGGCCCCACAACCCTACTGGAAAGTGCTCCAGGGCTTGGCCCCTCCAGGTTGTCCAAGGCAGCCAAACTCTGCCCACCCATTCCTGTAACCCAGAGACCCTGGTACCTGATCACTTTAGCAGCCCAGACACCCCCTGGTCCCCTTTGGGCAGCATTATAGTTTCCGCGGGCATGGAAGTATTTGTCTGCACCTATGTACCCGGCTTCTCTCATGTCAGAGAAGGCTCTCCACATGTCTTTAGCCCCTGGAAAGCAAAGCACATGGAGTAAGGATTATCAGGTGGATAGAAAACTGAAGAATCAAGGAGTGAAAAATCTTCCACTGACTCAGTTTCAGCCTGTGGTTGGAGCACCACAAATGCCACAGGGTGAGAAGCGCATTCCTTACGTCCAGCTGCCTGCTCCTGGTACTGGAATGAGCACCATTGGGGTGGGATGGGGGAGGGCTATGGCTGTGGGACCTCTTTGTCTGACGCCTGTGATGCTGTCTCTGTGCTGCCTCTCAACGAGGGCTCTACCTGATACGTTTAAGGACAGAGCGAGGCATCATTACAGGACAGGATTCCTCAACAGCATTCTACTGAAATGTGAGACCAGGTACATTGTTGCTGTCAGGGCTGTCCTGGCTATTATAACACGTCTAGCAGCATCCTTGACCTTTCAAACTATACCCCAGTGTGACAACTGAAAATGCACCCAAGCATCACCAAACGTCCCCACGACACAAACTTGCCCTGGGTCCAGAACCACTGCCGTAGAGGAAGCTGCATGTGATAAGCTCTGGGACACGTGGGTGAGTGAGGAGGTGACGTGCGAGACAGATTCTGAGAAAGGGCAGACGTACTCCTCTGCTCTGACGCCTAAGAAATGTATTCCTGCCTCACAAAAGGATCACTTGTGACTTGATTCCCCTGCCTGTTAGGTGAGTGAAAGGAATCCTGAGAACTCTCTAGTGGATGGTACTGGTGATGTGGGCTGCTTGAGGAAGTGGGTCTATTCCTCAGCCTGGCTGCACTGTCCAATAATCTGGGGAGACCCTGAAAGTCCCCTGAGCCCTCAGAGCCCAGGCCAGTCACCTCCCCGTCTCCGGGCTGGTCTCAGGCAGCAATAGTTTTCATGGCTCCCCAGGTGACTCCAAACTGCGGCCCTGATTGCTCAGCTTTAGGAAGTGGTGCTGGGAGAAGTCAGTGAGAGCCTTGGCCTCAAGCACAGCTGGGTTCCCACCTCTGTCCTGCTGCCTGCTGACGGACACTCAGTCCCTGGGCGATGGACTCGGCTGCTCTAAGCCTTGGTTTTCTCCCCTTCAGGTGGAGGAAGATGTCCCCTCATGGAGGTTTTCTGCAGGTAATATATGACCAACTGTCCCAGCTTGACCGGAACTGCCTCTGTCTTCCTGAAACTGCCCCAGATAGTGCTGCTAATGTCCTGGAAAACTCTCCAGCCCTGGGCAGAGAAGGAAAGTAGGTCCCTCTAAATTGCACGTAAGAGCTGAGTTCCTGGTGGAGGTTTTCATATGATATTAGGTTCACACACACACACACACACACACACACACACACACACACACATACATACACACACCTTTATATATAGTGGCTAGGAAAGGGTAGGAAACAGACTAAAGCAAGGACAGCGTCACTGAGTATGGGTAGGACCAACAAGGTGTTCTGAAGGCCCCTGAATCATCCAACTAGGAAATGGAAGGAAGGAAGAGAGGAAGGGAGGGAGGGAGGAGTAGGGATGGAGGGACAGGAGAGGAGAACTTGGATCGCTTTCACCCTACATCGTGCAATTGGTCTGAGGGAAATTTCGTTCCATTTCAGACTCGTTTTGTGTCTTCCATTCATACTTATATTTCATCTGGAAACGATGCTCATTCTTTCTCTAGTAGCTGATGGACATAAATCCTGTGCTTTCCAATCTGTCTGAAATACTTCCCCAACACCTGGCACATTGTTCCACATAGTGCAACATCTCCTAAGACTGCAGCTCCAACCCTCAGGGGTGTTTAGGGTGAAGCGTAGAGGCCCAAGGATGCCATCGCCCCTCCATCAGTCTTACCTTCAAAAGCCTCACCAAGGAAGGAAAGCAGGCTGTGGGCTCCCAGCATCGAGGAGCAGAGAATGAGGCCTGTGAAGAGCTTCATTGTGCTGAAAGGAAACGAGAGGGTCAGGGAGACATGGACAAGACTTTCACCCCTCTCCACTTTGGGGTTTGTATGTCAAGGAGAGCCTGGCTGTTCATTTCCACTAGAAATAGTAGTAGTGGTCCTACTAGGAAACACTGCAGTAGGACATTACTGGCAGCCTCACGCCCTCAATTCTGAACCCACCAACCCTGAACCCAAGACTGTCTAAGAGGTCACCCAGGTGGCTTTGGTGGAAGAAGAGGACAGTTGGGTCCAAGTTGTGTCTTACTAAAGCAGCCTGTCGTTAATAAAAAAGCATTTCCCATGCACCACTCTGCCAGCACTGACCACATATAGGAGAAATAGAAATCAGAAGAGTTATGTTTTAAAGCAAATGTTTTCAAAGAAATGGCTCCTTGAAGTAGTTCGTCACCTGATCCCCAGTGGAGCAGGGCTGCTGGTCCCTGCCTGCTGTGGAGGGGTGGCTGTATTTATACTGAGCCATCCCTGGGTGGGTCAGGGGGTGAGGATGACAGCTGGACTGGTGCCCAGGGAGAATCCCTGCAGGTCATTTCTCCTACGGATCTGCAAAGGGTGACTTACCGGACACCGATGGCTGTCCTCATCCACTGGTCATTTCCCTGGCTGTGCAAGCCTGAGGAAATAGTCAGTTCTGATCTGCCTGGTGTCTGCTGTCAGGGGCCGAAGGGCTGAGGCAGGGTCATCTGGAGAAGAAGGGTATGGAAGGTCATCTGAAGGGTGTGGAGCTCCAGGATGGAGGCCTCCTGGCGGTTGGAAGGTGTGTCATTAGAGGATGCTCTTCCAGCCTAGACCTTGGTATTTTCCTGGTCATTCCCTCAGGATGGTCCCTGATGAGCCAGATAGAAGATGTGTCAGAAATTAAATCCTTTGAGCTCATGTCCAAAGCCCTTGAGCCTCAAAACTGACAGATCAGCCCCACCGAATCGCTTGGGGGGTCTGGGCTCCTTCCACCACGCTGAGTGGCTGTGCTGAGCTCTCAGCTCCAAGGCAATTGAAAGCCCTCTCAGCCTCAAAGACAAGAGGTATATTATCTAAGTTGGATCCTGAGATAGGGGCAATCCTGGTAGAGAGGAGTTTGTGCTTCCCCAAGCCAATCCTGGAGATGCCTCAGAGTGGGAGTAAGAGTGTTTGGTGCAGGAGGCTAGTATGTAATCTCTAAGAAATGCATAACAGGACACAGAGGGAGGTAATAGCTGTTATGGAATATGGCAGCCCAACTGGGGAAGTGCCAGGCTCCCTGTCTGGGGTTGGTGAAGGACAGCTCTTTGTCTGCTGTATTTTCCTGGCTGGGGCTTGAGGTGTCACCGTCTGCCCTTTTGTCACTGTGAGTCAAAAATATCACCAGTGTCATCCTGGCTGATGAGGCCCGTATGTGTATGAACAGAGCCTTCAGCTCTCAAGAGAAAATGTCGCTTGTGCCTCATCCTTACCAGAAACATTCTCTAAAGAGAATTCTGAAGACTGTACTTCAATCAAGTTGACTTTGTTCTATGTTGTCTAAAGACAGAGCAAACAAGCAAAACCTGAAACCAAAGGAAGTTGATTCTTTTTTTCTTTGCTGGATTTTTTGAAAGAAAGCGAAAGTGAAGTCGCTCAGTCGTGTCGGACTCTTTGTGACCCCATGGTCTATAACCTACCAGGCTCCTCTGTCCATGGGATTCTCCAGAAAAGAATACTGGAGTGGGTTGCCTTTTCCTTCTCCAGGGGATCTTCCCAAGCCAGGGATCAAACCCGGGTCACCCACATTGCAGGCAGATGCTTTACCATCTGAGCCACAAAGGATTTTTTTGAACTGGCCAGCAAATACTTTTTTTGACTGTCAACTCTCTGCCTGTTTAGTCAAATGTTATCTCATCATTGTTTGCTAATATAAGTGAAAGACACAGTCTTAAACTTGGTTTGAGTTAAAAAATCTAGCATCTGGGAGAAGAGAGACATGCCAAGTGACTTCACACAGATTTCTTATATGTATTTATACCACTTAGGACTAAAGATTATCAATGACATCCATAATAATGTTGTTATCAGGGCAACAAATCATCAGTTAAGACAACACAGCTGACTTCTTTTTGCAGATTAAAAAGTAGAGAAAATGCAAAGAATTTAAAAGTTCAGTTGCCTTATGTGACTATTTTTAAAAACCTCTTCCAAGGACCAATTTAAACTTAAATTAACAGAAACCATGTCTGTCTCATCCTGTTTATACCTATAGTGCTTATCACGCTCTTTGGTGAATAACAGGCACTCGTCCGTGACTTTATTCATTCTACTGGTACTTTCTGAGCTGTTCCTATATGTGCTGGATGTCTCTAGCCCCATAATGTTTATACCGTAGTAATCAGTAAATACATATATAACACAAATAGTGACATCTCTCATTATTTAAATCTAATCTATCCCTGACAGTGTGCTGGTTGGTTGGAAAGCAGTAGTTTTTGGAGGGTCAGGGGTAGTAAAATTTTGAATATCAATTATTTTAATTATTTTATAAGAGAAAACATATTAATCTTTTAAATAAATAAAAATTAACTAAATATAGCTAATTTTTACAGATAATGTCAGAAATATTTGGAAATCTGTTTAGCAGTCTATCAAGAATACCTATACAATATAAACCAAAACAACAATTGCCTAATTATTTAAAAATTAAAGAGCCCATTGGTGGATGTCTTGTGTGAAATCTACACCTAATACTTTAGAAACTTGGACATGAATTCTGTTTTCTTTCTGTATTGCAACAAATATGCCTATAAATTTTAAAAATTAAAAGATTTGTTAAAGATAATATAAATAATTTTGCATAATAAAGTATACAGGAATGTTGGTGACAGAATAAGTGAAAAAAATACACATCTAAGATTCATCTCTGTCTAAATTCAAGGAGCTGGGTGACAGTCTTTTCTACCTGCACTGGAAATTCTGTACACAGATGGTTGTAAACAATGGTCTGTAGTTAAAGATTATGCAATTATTGAAACACACAAAGGCATGTCAAATGGATGTCTGTTTATATTGCCTTCACTTTCCATCACCCTCCTAATATGATACTATGTTAGCAGTAAAATTTTTGAATGGATATTACTGTTTAACGTGACTTGATCCCTCACTGTAAGTGGGTGTCACTGTTTTCTTCAGGATCCAAACCTAACTTTGGCCTTAGATAGTGATATGAACACACACCACACACATGATATGCAGAAGAGACAGCCAAGTATCTGGGAATAAATGCAGGTAGATCAGTGTGTTCAACAGTGGAAGCTTGTGAAAGTTTATTTCCAATCACTTCCATTTTTCGGTGAAATAGGGAGCAAAGTCATCAACTAAGAGGAGAACAGAGGAGGAGGTATTGAAAGTTTTAGGATCGAAGTGAAAAACTATCGTCTAGGAGACAGCAGAGGGAATGAGCTAGAAGTGTAGTGGATTGCAAGGCAGTTAGAGGCTAATGACCATGAATTGAAAGTGAGACTTGTCACTGTGGTTGTGTGTTTTTCTCTGACCACATCCAGCTGCCAAAGTACAGACCTGAAGTAAGTGGGGAATTGGATATCACCACTCATTAAATACTTGCTGAGTTACTGAATGAATTAATGCTTGCAAATGTCAAAGGAGGAATCACTTGAAGATCAGGCAGTGGGCCTTGCTGGTGGTCCAGGGGTTAAGACTCCGTGTTTCCACTTAAGGGGAGTATGGGTTCAGTCTCTGGTTGGGGAACTAAGGTCCCGCATGCATGATCAAAAAATAAAATAAAGATTAGGGAGGGTGGTGGCTCAGATGGTAAAGCATCTGTCTAAAATGTGGGAGACCCAGGTTCAATCCCTGGGTCGGGAAGCTATCCTGGAGAAGGAAATGGCAACCGACTCCAGTATTCTTGCCTGGGAAATCCCATGGATGGAGGAACCTGGTAGGCTACAGCCCATGGGGTCGCAAACAGTCGGACACGACTGAGCGACTTCACGTTAACGTTCACTTTCACTTTCAAAGGATAGAGAGAGAGAGTTAAAAGTCCAGGGTGACCGAAAGTGAAGATGGGCATAACATATGCGCCAAGATCCAAGACTCCACTAGGACCACTAAGGATGTGGTTGCCCTGGTGTAGTAGAAGCAGATCTTTCTCTGATATTGAAAGGAAAGGAGAGAGGATGAGGAAGATGTATTCTGAGATGGAGGGCAGAGAACTGAGGAAAACCAGGAACACCCGTCCTTTACCTGTCACTCATCACTCTCTGCCTATTTGCATTTCTGAGTTTGGCAGCACAGAGCACAAAGCGTAGGGGTAGGAACCTAAGTCTGGCTTGCTGACCATCTGCTGTCTCTCTAACGCCTAGTGCATCACCATCCCCATCGCAAGTTTTTTTGTTTTTGTTTACTGACTAAATCAATGAATTTAATGGAAAAAATGAATAAAATAAAATAAAATAAATAAATCAATGAGTTTATGGAAGAGGAGACTGGTAGAGGTCGTGTGAAGGTGGAGTTTGGAAGTTAGGAATGATGGAAAAGCTTTGAAACAATGATACATATGGTATAGGATCAGTCATTTAGAGACGAATATGGACATTGTTTATATGTAGTGAAATCCCAGCCTACTTGAATGGCTGAACTTACTGTCAAAATATATCTCCAGAAAGCAAACACCTCTCCAGCTTCATCCTATTATTTTGCACCACCAACTGGATTATTGTGATGAAACCCTAATGCCTTCCATATTTCCACCCCTGTTCCTCAATATAGCAACCAGACTTAAAATACAAGACAAATCATGTCTCTCTCTGCTCGAGAGGATCTCCACTTTACCCATAACTGAAGCCAACGCCCTGCAATGGCTTTCTGCTCTGTCTCATTCACTCCTCAGGATTTAGGTCTCTCCTCTCACTTGCTTCCCACCGTCCACCACACTGGTCTCCCTAATCTTTAAGCCCTCCAGGCACATTTCAAGCTAAGGGTTTGGTTCTTTTCATCTGAACATTCTTTCCCCCAAATATTCACATACTGGGGTTTTAGCAAGAGCAAGATCTTAGATTTCAGGATGTGGGAAGGTTCAGTACAATCAATGGCATTAAGAGTGTTGGCAGCAATAAAAATGAATGCATTTGAGTCAGTTCTAGTGAGGTGGATGAACCTAGAGCCTATTATACAGCGAGAAGTAAGTCAGAAAGAGAAAACCAAATATCATATACTGACGCATATATATGGAATCTAGAAGGATGGTACTGATGAATCTGTTCACAGATCAGCAATGGAGACTCAGATGCAGAGAACAGACTTATGGGCAAGGGTGGTAAGAAGAGGGAGAGGGCAAGGTACATGGAGAGAGTAGCATGGAAGCAAATACATCAACATATGCAAATCGATAGCCAATGGGAATTTGCTGCCTGACTCAGGGAACTCAAGCTGGGGCTCTGTAATAACCTAGAGGGGTGGGGATGCCAGGAGGTGGGAGGGAGACTCAAGAGGGAGGGGACATAGGTACACCTGTGGTTAATTCATGTCGACGAATGACAGAAATCAAAGCAGTATTGCAAACCAATCACCAATCAATTAAAAATAAATAAATATATTTTAAGAGCATTGGCAGCAAATATGTAGAAATGGGCATTGTGAGTGACATGAGCTCTATCAGCAAATATAATGGAGACATGCTTTGTGCCAAAACATTGTTAATCAGATTGTCTATTTCAGAAGCATCCTGTGAGCATTTTAAGTATGCAGATTCCTGGACCAGAATCTTGAAGGTTCTGATTCAGCACATGTGGGGTG